TTGGTTCTTTAATTTAGGCTGTCTTAATGTGAAGGTGCAACGGTCATTTTACATATATGGGCTATCAGCATTTCTTTCACATGTTTGAGGCTTTTTTCCAAGCTCTATTGGGATCTTGTATTAATGGGGGACCATTAAATTTGTAGAAAGAGTTCTTGGGCCGTGCTACTATCGTGCGCCATGACACACCTAGCAAGATGTGTCAAGACAATTTAAAATGAACAAGTTGTTACATAATAAAATGAACACCTGTTCATTTTAAATTGCCTTGGCACACCTTGCTAGGTGTGTCAGAGCGCACCTAAGTATTTGCGTTCTTGGGCACGGTCTAACAATAAATAATGTTCCTTTTAACATAATAGTAGTACGTACCCCGTGCGATGCACGAGACATAATATTAAATGAGTAATTTTAACAGTCTTTTCCGTTTAAGTCTAAAAAGTAATATGATTATTATCTATTTTCTATATTTTTTAATTAACGTTAAGTCTAAAAAACAATAAGTTATAAGTTTTTTTTTTCATATCTTTTCAACATCGTTGTTTTTTTAGCAGAACATTAAATATGAGCAATTTTATGAATAACTTGTAAAATAATTAATAAATTATCTCACTAAAATATTTATACTAATAATAGTTTAATTTTAGCATATAAATTTATCACTTGATATAAGAGAAAGTAACAGTTTTACTTATTCTTGTTCACCATATAATATTTAATTTTTATTTTATTATATAATAAAAAGGAATACTGTTAAATAGTGTAGTAGAATAAAATTAAATGATTATTTTTTTTATAATTTTTTTTACAATATGGATTTAATTTCTTTTTATGATTTGATAATATAAATATAATATATTCTTAATGATATAATGATTTATTTTAGTATAGCTAGAATGCTGGTTGCAAATAAGAAAAAAAAACTATTAGATGCGGTCAGCATTCTGCTATAAGATAAAAGTTTTCTCGTTATGATGAGTTTCTTATCCACCATGTTCTTCTACACATCTATTTGATTCCACTTTTCTTACTTATAAGTAGTAAAGGTTCCCTCGGATGTCTTTGCATAATCAGTCTGACGGAGGCGAGGTTATTCATTTCAAAGCATCGAAGTAAGGATTTGACAGAGCTTCAAGCAGGTTTACTTCGAGCTTGCTAGAATCGGTTCTTACAGAAGGAGAATCCAAGCAGAAGATGCAGACAGTATTCTGCTATAAGATAATGGTTTCCTCGGAGCGAGATGCATGTCACATGTCATCTACACTTTTTTTTTTTTGGTTTGTACTTTTAATTATCACACATTTAACCGTGTGAAT